CACAGGAGTGGCTGCACAGACCAGCACAGACAGAAACAGGCAGCGCTGGCACAAGCAGCACCAGTGGCCTCATCCTGGTCTTTCTGGCTGATCAGGAGAAGGAATGCAGAGTTAGTAAAACTGAAACCTTGTGAAGCCACAAGCAACTTTCTCGAGAAGCACAAGGGTAAGGTTTGGCTGTGGTACCCCCCGTGTTGCCAGCTCTCTTTCAGAGTGGCTCTGGGTGCCAGTTCTGCCCATCTTGAGGTTACATTTACTCAGACTGGGAGAACTACAGCTCCCTGACAGGAGATTCTAGTGAGGTGACATCGGTCTCTTCTCCCAAGCAACAAACGGTAGAACAAGAGGAAATAGCCTCAGGTTGCTCCAGGGGAGGTTTAGGTTGGACATGAGGACAAATTTTTTCCCCAAAAGGGTTGTCAAGCCCTGGCACAAGCTGCAGGGGTGTCCCCAAGGGGGAGTCCCCATCCCTGGAGGGATTTAAAAGCCGTGGAGCTGTGGAGCTCAGAGCCATGGGTTAGTGGTGGCCCTGGCAGGGCTGGATTAACGATTGGACTCAATTTTAAAGATCTTTTCCAACCAAAGCGATTCTGTGATTGTATCTCTGGAGCTTACCTGGGGCGTCTGTAGCACACTGACATCCTAATCCACAGCCCGAGTGCTGTGAAACACTTGGGGCTGGACTAGGTGACCGTTGTACGTCCCTTCCGACCAAAATACTCCGTTCCTTTCTAAAATTATTTGCTGTACGAATAATGAGCATTACTGTTTACAAAAAGGAGCCTGCAGGATAAAACTTCCCAACACGAACATGTAAATTACCACATCCGTTCGGGAGATGGCACAAAGAGTGATTGTGCTCTCTGCTAATCATATTGATTTTAAATTATAAACAAAGCTGGCCCACAAGTGGCAGAAAGGAATATTAAATGTTTATCCAGTATTATCGCGGGATTTTTTAAGTGTAACGCGTACTAATTCTTAATTATAAATATAATGTTGATGCTTGGCAAAGTGTCATCCTGTGACTAATAAAAATGTTTAGAATATTAGGAAAGAGCAGTTTATGACAGGATAAATAGTAGTGTGACATAAAAAAATGAAAATAATTGAAGACAAAAGAGCAAAACAACAGCAAGGAGTGTTGTGGTTTATACTGTCCAGGTGACTACCTGGCTATTGACTATTATTAATTAGCAGCCAATCCGTATGAAAGACAATGAAAAAGAGAAAGTTTCTGAGTCCTTGGGAAGTGTAACGGGTTTAAACTGTCAGTTTGGTGAAAAAATATGTGGCAAGTATTTGTTGGGGAGCGAAAAGACACAGAACTGATGCTGTTTCGTTTAGTTTTGTGTTTCCAGCTTTCAATACTTATGAAGGTGTAGTATGTCTCCGGTGTAGAATTGCGTTTATACTCAAATATAAGTAAACGAGGGGAAAAATAAAATCAAACAAGAAAACTGCGGCAGGCACATGTTAAAAATGGGGGGAGGTGGGGCTGGAGAGCGGCCCTGCAGAAAGACTTGGTGGTGGGCAGCAGCTCCAGAGGAGCCAGCCCTGTGCCCGGGCAAACCGAGGGGGTAAAGCCCATCCTGGGGGGCATCGAACACGGTAGAAACCCTCAAGAGGAGGGGGTGGTCCTGCTGTTCCGCAGTTTTAGGCCCCACCGTTAAAGAAGGGTGAGAAGGTCCTTGAAGGCATCCAGAGGAGAGCGACAAAGCTGGTGAAACGGCTGGGAGGAAACGTCCTGCAAGGAGCGGCGAAGGATTTGGGGCTTGTCGGGTTTGGGGAGAAGGAGGCTGAGGGGCCACCTCCTGGCTCTGCAGCTCCCTGAGGAGGGGATGTGGAGAGGGAGGTGCTGAGCTCTTCTCATGGGGATCCAGGGGTCAAATTGGTTGGAATAGATCAAAGCTGCAGCAGGAGAGCTTCAGGCTGGACAGGAGGAAGCATTTCTTTACTGAGAGGGTGGTCAAACCCTGGAACAGGCTTTCTGGCCTTTTTCTGTGATCTTCTGTTTGGATGGAGATGGATTTTTATCGCAGAATCTGGTAGCTGCCAGGTAAACGGCGATCCCTCAAACCTGCCGGGCTGTCTGCTCTCACCCTGAGGCCGTTCCCCTGCCTTTGTCCCCGCAGGTGAGGAACGAGTTTTACAAGGACACTCAGGGCGTCATCCTGGTCTACGACGTGGGGCAAAAGGAGTCCTTCGATGCGCTGGACGCGTGGCTGGCTGAGATGAAGCAGGAGCTGGGTCCCCACGGGAACATGGAGAACGTTGTCTTCGTTGTCTGTGCGAACAAGGTGGGCCCTGGTGGGCAGCCGGGCTTTGGTGCGGTCCTCATCTCTAGCCCGTGGGTTTCATCCTGTCCCCGGCGTGTCCCCAAGCTGCTGAGCTCCAGCTGTAGCAAGGGAGATATTTTTAGGTTGTAGAGAAGACGTTTTGAGAGCCACGTGTTTGCGTGGGGAGCGCTGGAGACCACGTTTCAACGCGGTTTTGAGAGTCTGGTGGCCACACGCCAGTCAGGAAGGCATCAAGTGGAGATGACATTGTCTCTGGACCAGATGAACTTCTAGAGGCTTTTTCACTTGCATTTTCTGTGCTTTCTTCCCATCCCTTCAGGATAAGCAGACGGCCTCTCCGAGCAGAGAGGCCTCTTACCCTCTCTTAGATGGTCGGCCTCGGAGCTGTGTTCCCCCACAGAGCCTGGCTGGGCTCTGATCTCTGATTTTTCTCCTGGTCTAGATCGACTGCGCGAAGCACCGCAGCGTGGATGAAAGCGAGGGACGGCTCTGGGCGGAGAGCCGGGGCTTCCTTTACTTTGAGACCTCGGCACAGACAGGAGAAGGAATCAACGAGATGTTTCAGGTGAGGGTGATGAGGGTGCAGATACAATGCTGAGCCAGGATTTGTGTGGGTCATAGAATGGTTTGGGTTGGAAGGGACCTTAAAAATCATCTAGTTCCAACCAGGATATCCCTGAACTGCCTGGATCCCACAAAACCTGTTGGGTTTCTGCCCCAGAGGTGTCTTCCCAGAGAGGGGGTGGCAGCCCCATCCCTGGGAGTTTTCCAGGCCAGGCTGGATGGGGCTCTGGGCAGCCTGATCTAGTGGGGGATGTCCCTGCCCGTGGCAGGGGGTTGGAACTGGATGATATTGGAGATCCCTTCCAACCCTGACAATTCTAGGATTCTATGAAATGTCACCCTGAGAATTCCACAGCTGTTCAGCTCAGGATCAGTATTGATCCTCCCGGTGCTGAGCTGGCCCCAGCGTTGTGTTGCTCAGAGCTGGTGATCCCTCCTGCTGCACTGAAAACACACTTAATCAGGTCCAGCGCTGAGTTGAAGTGAGTTTGAGGTAAATGTGGGGCCTGGCCTCCGCCTCAGTCTGTCCCATGGCCCTTGCAGGGACTGGGTTCCCCCCCAGACTGGGCTACCTCAGCCCCCCACAGCCCAGGCAGCGGTAAGTGAGCGTTCACCGTTGTGCAAAGGTTCCTCCCGTGCTTCGGAGGCTGAGCCCGGAGCCAGCGAGGGCGGTGGGATCTGCTATGCACTTTCACCTCCTTTGGTATCTGTTCCTTCTCACACCATTCTCTTGGGAAAACTGGCTGCTCATGGCTTGGGTGAGCACTGGATAAAGCACTGGTTGGAGGGATGGGCTCAAAGAGTTAAATCCAGACTTGGCTACTTTGGATCAATGGCCAGTGTTGATGGTGTTAACTTCAAAAAGGCCAAGTCCTGCACTTGGGCTTCAACAACCCCCGGCAGCGCTCTAGGCTTGGGGCAGGGTGGCTGGAGAGCTGTCTGG